AATTCTGAAGGCCGAGTTTCTATTAACCTGGGCATTGATCGATAACTCGCTGCTTTATTGATGAAAATTCTCTACAAGTCTGTCACTGAGACATTTATCTTCCCCGTTATGCCTTTGCACTTTATGCGTGCCTAGTAGAGCATTCGGTTTAACCTTAAGTCTATCGACTAGATGTTCTTATATAAGGATGCGCAATGGTCTACCAGTTTCGCCAATGCATTGCTACCTGACCGCTTTACAAGAGTTCAAATGAGCAGTATCCAAAGTCGCGCAATCGTCGCCTCTACCGTTAGGAGAAACTATGCAATTTTTTATCATTCACAGAGGTCAATACAGGCGGTTACGAACTAAACTAGCTGGTAGTAATTCCCACGACCGGCAAACCTCGGCAATGATCAAATAGTTCTCGATATTCTTGTTAAGGAAACATGAGGTATTACTTTATTCTTTATTTCGTTAAAGCTGACGTTCCGGCGGATTTCGCTTTCCTCAGAGCCTGGAAAGGTCAAGTTGACAGAAATATGCCCGCCCAAACGCCTCCATAACCAAACAGAGAAAACGCTAAACCAAGATTTTAATCACATCGAACACAGAATAGCTCCTTTGCATACTCAGCGCTTTCTATGAGTCACTGAGTACGTCACGTGGAGAACATCCGCACGGAATTCACATGGAAGCGTAATGTGCCCATCCCATCAGAATAAAAGGCTTATCTACTGCACAATATCATGCGTGATAATAAGTCATTCTTCCCTGCGGTTAATTTTCGGATTTCTGGAATTAATCCAGAAGGTCTCGAGAGTTTTGTGCGCTTGTGTTCTCTGTTTGGTTATGGAGGTGTTTGTGTGGGTAGATTGCTGTCAACTTAACCTTTCCATGGTCTAAGGAAGGCGAAATCCACTGAGACGTCAGCGTTAACAGAATAAAGAATAAAGTAACACCTCGTACTTGCTCAACAAGAATATCGTAAACTAACTAGCTTCTTAAAGTTCGGTGGTATTTAAATTACTGCTATTGATTTCTCTTGACCGAGCATTTTTTAAGCAACGTTTTATAGCTGTGCTCCTTGCAATAACTTCCTGAATAATTAGCTGACACGATGATGACATAAAAATATTTATCCGGCTAACATTTCCACGTTTTCGTCTTCTTAAAAACCGCACTGATTTGAGTCGTATATATCGTAGGTGGTCGTCATCGCCATTTCATTGTTCGTTGACGCACCGAATCAAGTCCAGTGGAGAAAGCACGGGGAACTTTAATCTGCGATGCCCCTTTATACAAAACTGATTTCGGTAATCCAGCAACCCAATACGATCCGCCTTTTTTGGATTGTCGAAAAAGCAAATCATACTGTATGGTAGCAATAGATAATATCCATTCTGGATAAAAAGGCATCGCCGAGTGAGATTCTTCTTCCGATAGGTGTTCCACCTCGCCGAATTCGACTCTATAAAACAACGAACATCCACATCGCTACAATGACCACCCGAGAACCATCGACTTGATTCAATCAGTCTTTGAAGAAGACAAAGACGTCGAATCATTAGACGAATAAATATTGTCATACCAACCTCGCAGCAACCCAATACTCCGACAAACTATTGATTATTTGTGCCAAGGTTAAATAAATGTCGGCTTTTACAGATGTGCTTATTCCTTGGTAATAAAGGCAGGATAAACGGAACCCTATTCCTTATAAACAGAACCTTCACACTCTCGCAAAGAATCACACCAATAAGTGCCATTATGTTTTTGCGTAAGAGCGGCCGCTAAGATATCGGAATAAGTGGCATTTTCTTCAATGTGGTTTATTATGGTGTGCAGAAGTTTTTTCTGTACTTCTTGTAATCGATCGATAGCTTATCCAACACAGATGCTATGAGATTTGTAGACCATAGAAGAGTATCTTACCAATTTCTCACTTTTTTCTCATTCTGCGGCGAGAGATTATTGCTGTTGAAGAAAGTGTGACCCTGTGGTTCGAAAAACTGGCATTGCATGCAGTGCGCAGCATAATCTTTGGGAACCAATGCGTTGTTTTCTAATTTTCAATCGCTGTTATGACTTTTCGGCTTAGGCTTGGAGTGGGAGGATTTTAAAGCTGAAGTGCAAACATCGTAATAGCCCTTGTAGAACCTATATAACTTGAAGCTGACAGTAGTGTGACTCAATACTGTACAAGTGTTTTTCTTCACACAGAAGAGCTGTAAACGCACCGGAAGCTTGGTGGGGATGAGGAGGCTGTGGAAGCATACAGAGAATACATGGGATAAGAGAATCGCAGGACTTTCCTCGAAACGCCGAAGAAACCCTGACTTATAGAACAGAAATTGCAACCAAAGAGAGCAAGGCTGCGTAGAAGCCGTCGGAGCGCGGCCGGCGTGACAACTCTATGTGTTGCAGCAAGGATCGTTAACAGACTGCGCTCTATCGTTCTGGAGGTATGAATGATATTATATGCTACCACTTACTATGGCCCACTATATAAACGTACCACTATCAGCACATCGAAACTTATTTTGTGTTTATTCCGGTATTTCTTCCTCACCCGCACATTCTACATGACCACGACGATCATTATATCGATGTGAAATAACAGTCAATTGCTAGTCAAATTATCGATCACTATAGTAGTTGTAGAAAAGGTTCACTGAATATTTGTACGCATTTCCAGCCGACGTTAGTCACAATATCTGTACTGAAGAAACTATCTACCGACTACAAGTATTGGGAAAGGGCTAAAAAAGATCAAAGGATAAAGCTCTCGGCGTTGATCAATCCCTGAGGGATGCGCCACGCATTCGATTTCATTAAGCATCGTTGGAGGTGATTGAATGCATATCTGGCCTTTACAATGACTCGCGGTGGCCTAGCGATGTATCGAGCCACTGCTGCTATCCTCCCAGACAAGTCTGGTACCAATTTGCGACCCCACAGAGATGGAAGGCTTGATGGTCCATGGGCGCGGAGATCGATTCCGCGTGTATGTCGCACTGGCGCCTCCAACCACTGCGCCACACACAAAAGGGTTAAGTGCACCAAAATAAGCTAGCAAAATAACCCATATAGAGCTCATACTGCGTCGGTTATGTGCTAAAGCCTAGAGACTTTCGGATGGTCACTTATGCATCTGAACCACTGCATGGTGCACAGGTTAATATTTGTGATAGTAGCGAATAAGAGAAATGTCATGGTTATGACTGTTATATTAACAGCGAACACACAGAGTTAGACATTCTTTAACTGTGAATCGAACTGAAATATTAGCTTTTTGGATTATGGAGCTGACCCGAGGTTGCTAGAGATGTTCATCCAGTCAGTGTTTCCGCGTCTTCGTCTTCATCACAGCCGGCGATCTGATTCGAAGATTCACAGTTGTTCGTCTTCCTGATTTCGTGTTTTCAAAGACGAATGTCTGTGGACCATCAACTCGGGTCACTGGCTCAGATGAAGAGGAAGACGCCGACACGTTAAGCGAGTAAACATCTCCCTCAACCCCGTGTTGGCTTAACGATCCAAGAAAGTATTGGTTATTACTACTGAGGTTAAACGAGGTGGGTTTGATGGATTCTGAAATAGTAGTGATGATGAGATAAGAAGCGCTGAACACCAATTCTCCTAGGAATTCTACAACTAGAAGAAAAGACAAAAGTAAAAAAGGAAATGGAGAAAGCATTTTTCTATCGAATATAATACAAAAATGACGTGAAAGGACGCCATACTTAAGGAGACATGAACTGTCCAGGAGAAAAAGCAGATCTAATCACGGCAATGGAAACATGGGTGATTTTCCTCATTCAAAACCTCTTCATTTTCGCACATGGCATTAAGCCGATTGTTTAAATAAACTAGTTTCTATTTAATCGTTCAATTTCGGCTCTCTATAGCAAAGTTAAACCTAGCCTGTGATGATGATTACGCATCGCCAGCTATCCGCTTGTCGCTCTGCTATCGTCACAAGAGGATTTGCATCCTACTCGACTTACTTCACGTCTGGTGAAACTGTCCACGTATCGATTCTATACGATCCTAACTCCAAACGATTTTGTGCTACACTTTAGGCACGAGTTAAGGTTTAGTAAAATTCTCCTACACTCGCAAATTTCGACTCCTACTAGTTATACATAGGCTTTTACTAGAAAAAGGTTTTTCACTAAACGTCAACTCTAAACACTGACTAGAATCTGCACTATTCCACTTCGAGACGGAACACTCTATAAATGGACAACGCGATTACCCACGAACTATCACTCTAGTCAGAACGAGCATTCAGTGTAGTTTCTGTAACCGCGGACAAACCCGGTAAGTCGAGACTCGTTTTCGTTACGACACTACTTTCTTCCCACTTTATGTCGAAATTTCCACACTCAGAGTTTCTTTTAGGAGATTTCTCAGCAGTTTGCGTATTTATGGTTAAATAGCCCGCTATATTGCTGTGGTGTTACTTTATGCTTTATTCCGGTAGAGCTGACGTTTCGGCAGAATCGCCTTCTTCAGAACCTGGAAGGGTACACTGACGTGGAATTTACAACGCCAAACGCTTCATTAACTCAGACAGAAAGATGAAAATCTAAATGGCAATGACACGATCAACGGCTTCTCGAAAAACCCGCCGTTTCTTACGTGCCTTCCACTGAGGAAGAACAGCTGATCGGAGTCGAATGTTTTTTAGCTACTTCATGAATGTAGGCACTCTGCAAAGTATGTGTACGATTTCTTCTCAGCCAGCTGATGTTAAGCTAGCCATCATTTTCTCAGTTTTTCAATGGTTCCATGTTCCGTCTACGTTAATCACTTCGTCTTCGTCTCTCGTTGCCATTTATTGGTGATCAACTGCCTTTACATTCTGTTCCTATGCTGTGCTCCAACAGTTGCAACCATTGTTTTGACGTGTTAGTAACGGTTTTACCCATTTTCGAATAGTTTTCGTTGTGTTGCTGTTCAGCGATATAACTCGTGTGACTTTTCTAGTCCTTTTTTCTTCGATTGTGGATGCAATGATGGCTTTGCTGGATAGAAAGCGCACATCAGATCTGAAAATGTTGCGGCAATTCGTTTACCCAAAGGAGTTATCGAAGTTAGTGGCGGAGTATGATAAAGTGCAGGTTTGTTTTATAACCGTTCTAGTTTATTTTTTGTTGCTTTGATGTTTCCCGTAATAATTCTGGTAGCCAAATGCTAAACAGTACGGCATGTTGTGTTATTATAAAAAGGGAGGGGTTGTATTCCTGTGATGGAAGCTCCGACTTTGTTTCCGCTTTGTTCTTCCGTCGTTTTGCTAGTACTTCAGCATTTACTCCTCTTTTGGGACTTATTTGCTGCCTTAGAACAAGCTTACCTTCTAGTATATTGTGTACTCGAACTACTGAGGTAGAAGTACTCCAAGTGCTTCAGAGGAATTGATTGCAAGTTTTGATTCAGGCCTTCGCAGAATGTGGTGAGAAGGGTGTAAGGCTTTTACGACGAGTTGACATTGTTACACCAGACAACTACAAGGGATTCTTCAAAGATATAAAGATGGAAGAATCAGAATCCAACTAAGATTGGTGAGCTGTTCGTGGTTAGTTCATTCATTACTTTTTTACTTGTTTATTTAGCTTATTTAGTACTTTTTCCATATCGGAAGGGTAAAAATGCTACAGCTACGTGACAACATCGTAGTGTGACGTTAAAGTTTTACGAAGTCCTCATGAATGCGTCTATGCTGCGTAATAGGAATGGTCTTATGGTGGATTAGTTGCTGCTTGACCTTCTGAGTACTTCCCCATAGGAAAGTCATAAAATCGATTTTATCTAGAATAGACAGGATATGTAAATGAATGTTTATGTGTTATCTGTACTCCATTTTCCATTTGATAACCTTTCTATGTCTTGTGTTATTGGCAAGTCTTGAAGGTTCAGTATAGTTGCTTACTCGGATGCTTGGGTGGCCCGTTTTCACTGATTATGTGGGCGAGCATATTTTCCGCTTTTCGGAGCTTTGCTGTTTGTCCATTGTGATTCCTTAGAGTCCCGAGGTCAGCCTAGCCATAGTCTGCCCCAGATGGTCACAACCAAATCGTCGCAGTTGTGGATCAGAGGGAGATTTGCCACAAGTTTGACAAGTTTGGTACCAGAACGGTGATGGATCCTGATACTGCTTTACTCTTAGTTGGGCTTCTTGATGGAAACGCTGAACTCCTTCTAAGCTTGGGAGACCCTGCCGAGGATGAATACACCGCTGTACATCGCAGCCCGACACTCAGGAACACCTCCCAGCCATGATGAGGTAAACCGTTGGAAGGATTTCAGTATAAGGATGTAAAAACAAATAGTGTTTATAGTTTTATCATCAAGAGTGGAGATTATCTTCATTTATATCAATGGTTATGGGCATCACTATGTTATTGCAAATAATCTTCGATTGATTAAGAGTGTTCCACATTTTGCTTCAATAGTGCTCAGCTTTATTTCTTATGGAAATGTAAAGTGACTGCAAACGACATTTCATGAATGTGCTGAAATCTACTTTTTTCAGATCACGGTTTGTCGGGCGTTACGGGGATATGGCCGTAAGCCAATCTCGCAACTATTGATTAGTTCAGCGTTCACTTTGCACTCGTTCACTTTTGTGTTTCTGAAGTTCTGTATATTATGTGAGCTTTGTATGGAGGCACAGTCATTGCATCTTCATGTTTCGATCGCCTACTTTTGCCCACTTTGTTGCTTAGCAAGGCTAACTTGGTGCTTTTTTTCGTGCTAACAATATCATGAAGGAATCTTCAAAGGAAAGTTCTGCGTATGCCATAGGATTCTATAATGGTGGGCAGTTTCTTCAACGACTATATGGTTAGATAAAGTTTGTATTCCAACTTTACGTCTCTGTTGTTAATGCACAGTTCCAGTAATTTTATCCATACCTGAAATAAAACGATATCTAAGCAATTGTTGAATTGACTGTGGGAGATAATAAGTGCAGTCATACATAATTTGTTAGGTAGAAAAGAGCCATTAGTTATTTCTGTTCTTTATAACCGTCCTTTTCACCAACTTCTTCGTTTTAGCGCTATTAAGGGATTTCGAAGATTCCCGAAGTTTTGCTTTTGCGGTGGATGAAGGCTACGTTCGTCGTGGCGTGAATGTTGAGACCGTAAACTAATGATTTGAAATCCATAGTACTAATGAAGATCCAGCTTATAAGTAGACGTCAATTTTCCAAAGACGTCCCACCGCACTTTTGGACCACCGACGTGTTGCTCACGAGGGGTGATGAGTGCGGCATGGAGGTGTGCATCAGAAAATCGTTCTGAGATAAGGCGCTGCATCACGTGTGATGGCGAGGCATTCGTTTTTTCGGCTCATCGTTGGACATTTTAAATTTATCCAAAACGCTTCAAGAGTCTTGCGCGCTGATGTTTCAGATTCTTGCGCTAGGGTACGGAAATTCACTTCAAAACCATCACCTTCGTGCTTTTGTGCTCTATGTACGCTTACCTTTCTTAACCTCAGAGCTCATCAAACACAGGTGTTATGGAAGGAGGTCGACAGAAAAAGCACTATTTTTCACTTGGAAATACGTCTGCGGAAGTTCTTTCAACCGAGTTCACTTGCGGAAAATTTGGCTAGTAGTTTACTGTTGCTTCATTTTATAATAACAGGAGTGATGAATCACAGCTATAGCACGGAATTGAAGAGTACAAAAACATACTTTAGCATTCGACCTAATAGAATCACAAATCAAAATTGACCCACCCACTATTCTCTTCCAAAGGGATTCTAATAAATTCTATATTAACAACCTCGTGTCTGCTTATTGATGAAAAACATTGAATTATCAATTAATGCCGAGGTTAACAGAAAGTCGGTCATGGGAAATATACGATTGTTTTTTCGATAATTAAGGGGTTGAAGGAATTGGAAACGACATATGGGTGCGTTCATCATGTTCAGAGCTGATTACGCGCGAATAACCGTATAATTGACAAGATAACATAAATTGGAAGATTTTTAGTTATAATCTTCCTTTGACTACCTTGCTGTATTGACAAACCTTAACTCATGATGGGTGCTAATATATTGGCATCAACAAGCGTTCTGTATAAAAAGGCAGTGCATGATTAGTTATAATTATCTTTTATTGCCGTGTTGAATTGTACCACGCATCTCCCTCATAGAGGTATCTCGTGCCGGTTAGTGGCGAGTCTCTAGGTGGTGCATAGGGAGTTGGTTAGTCGCAGACCAAAACCGATTTCATACTCCCTAAGACGCAAATGGGTCCATGGGGTGACTCTGTTTCTGTTGCGCCGATTTAGCACGTACCTTCTGTTCCCAAAATCGACTTTCTATTAACCTCGGCATTGGATTATGAATTCGTCGCTCTTTCTCTCAGGAATCTCGAGGTTTTTAAACAGTATGCGTTTACTTCCATACAATAACACACATACATCACAGCCGTAGCTGACGTTTCGGCAGAATCGCCTTCTTCAGATCCTGGAAGGGTACACTAATACGCAGCTTACTAGGTCAAATGCTTCAACAGCACAAACAGAAAGATGGAAGTTTGAACGATAATTACACAATGAACGGCTTCTCGCGCTCTTTGTGTGTGAAGTTTAGAGTAAATTTCGGTGGTGTGAAGCATTTTTGTTCTCCGTAGAGAATGCGACAAAACAATCATCTATATATCTGGAGTAGAGTAGTGGCCCGAGACCGAGAACATTGGCTTATATCTTGGACAAAACACAATGGCAAGGCTTGGTGCCAATCGCTATCCCATTGCCAGCCCACTTATTTGGGCAAAATGTTTCCCAGACCATCTGAAGATCGAGCAGTTTAGGCACTCTTTTAAGAGAGCCATAGGCTGCTGGATGGAAAAGCCATCCATGCTTATTCTTCCTTCATGTTCAACAAGAAGTTCGAAGATGGCTTGCATTGCGGGAGTCATTCAATAAGTTAGTGTAAAACGTGGAGACGTCAAAGGATCCTAAGACACACGCGTTGTTAGGAGAAGCGTTAAGTAGGCGTTCTAAAAACATTTGGGTGTTCCTGAGGTGAGCTGGAATGTGGTTAAGCATTAGGTTTAGAAACTATGCTATTCTATCCGTTGGCCAGGGTCCACAGCTGATGATGGGTCTATGCTTAAATGATGCTCGATTGGTTGACGCAAGACCATCAGGTGATACCAACTTATGTGTTTTAAGCAGGTATAGGACGGGTCATTTTGGTTTCTTGATTTTAAAGCGCGAAATAAGCGATGGTTTTAAATTTGCAGCCTTTACCACACTGACCTATTGATTGCTTAACTTTCGGTATTGACTTTTATATTCCTTTACAGAGGATGGTCGATAGAGGATAGCATCACTAAGACATTCCTCTATTATCTCATCATCCAGCTGGCGATGAATGACTACCAACTTATCATTAACAGACAACCTTATTGTTTTCTTATTTACTTGGATACTTGGACGGTCCGTCTTCATGAGCTGTGCGGACCCCAGCACGTTTGCCATTCGTTCCCTTCTCTCGCAATCGTAGTCCATGGTAGTGGTCTTGTTCGAGCATGGTAGCGCTTGAAAGTCTCATGCCGCGATCTGTAAAACAACTGTAGCTGCGGGTACAGCTGATTTACTCTGTTAGCGAACACGTCCACCCAACGTGTAGGTGGTCGTCCTAGAGGGGGTTTGCATTTTCTTAGAGTCCCCTCTACTGTTCTTTTCGTCCATCTGTCGTCTGTTCTTCTCACCTATGTGACCGGCTCATCTATGTTTCGCTGTCGATGCATATTCTCCTAGATCTCGAACATGTGACAGACTTCGAAGGTCAGAGCTTCGCATTCGGGCTACATATTAAGAGTGCCGGTAATATTTCAAAAGATATCGCTCAAGAGCTCTATGAGCAGTGCGAAGCATTCTTGACGTAGTTGAGGTATCAACCCACGTGTCTGCAGCATAACAGAGCGCTGGGAGGACCGTAGAATCAAAGAGACGAGCGCTCATTTTCGGGTCCTTCAGTTGCGGTAGCTTCTTTGAGAGGCCCGAATGCTGCCCAAACTGCTCTTCTTCTTTCTAGTTTCTCCTTCGTGTTGTTTTCCATGTTCATTGATCCCCCAGAGTAAACGAACTAGGTGGTCTCTGCAATGAGAGAGCCATCCAATTCAATTTATTCGCCTTCTCACCATGGGTTTCTCATGAACTGCGTCTTTTTTCGATTTATTCTTCTTTCGATTCTTCTTTCGAAGTTCGATCCCTATCCCCGCTTCGCTGACCTCATTGATCATAACCTCTGCTTCGTTAGTACTTCTTGAGAAGATGACAAAGTCGTTGGCAAAACGAAGGTTTGATAGGAATATTCCATCAATAGGTATGCCATTCTCATCCCAATCGAGTGACTTCATTATCTATTGAGCAGCTGTGGCGATATTGTGTCGCCCTGTCGAATCCCCTTTCCTATAAGGGCGGTAAGAGGTCAATGGAAAAGCTGTATTTTCGTAGTGCAGTTCCAATAACAGTCGGACAGAGTGCTTGTGTAAGACGGGTCCACTCCTTGGTCGCTGGTAGGATGGC